TTCGTTGTAACCGTTAACTCGTCAGCTAATATCTTCCCGTTTTTTTGCCAATTTATATGTTCGTTGTTCAGACCCCAGAGCTGTGGATACTTTCTTAAAGCCTGACTAAATAGGACATCAGAGATAACCATTTTTATAAAAATAATATAGTATAATAATAAAAATTTTGTCATGAGACTCGTTACTTTTATTGCCGGCTGAGTATTTGTCTTTTCTGACAAAGAAATAAAAATAAAATAAAAAGAAAAGTCCCGTCGGTTGTCTGCCGTCTGTCTGTCCACTGTAAGTCAGTCGGTCGTCGTCTGGCGTCGGCCCTACATAGCCATCATACGCACACCCCTTCGTCCTCCAGCCACAGCGGTGGCAGCTGTAGCGCTTAGCCACTCATCACAAAAAGGAATTAAACATACTAAAATAACTTACAATACAAGCATCGGCGTCGGTGCAGTGTCGGCCGCGGTAGCTGCTACATCGGCAATCCCTGCTCCTCTTTCTATTAGGCCTTTTCCACTCCAATACAAACTTCAATTTCCCCTGCTGCGTGCGTAGGTGCACGCGGGTAAACGCTGTTTGCAATAATAACCTGGGATCTAATTAATTTCTCTTCCACTTTGTCATGAGACTCGTTACTTTTATTGCCGGCCGAGTATTTGTCTTTTCTGACAAAGAAATAAAAATAAAATAAAAAGAAAAGTCCCGTCGGTTGTCTGCCGTCTGTCTGTCCACTGTAAGTTAGTCGGTCGTCGTCTGGCGTCGGCCCTACATAGCCATCATATGCACACCCCTTCGTCCTCCAGCCACAATGTAAATAATGCAAAAGAATATATATCTTGTCAATGTTTAAGTCAAAATTAAATAATGACTTTAATGCACTAAACTATTTATTATTTATTTAAATGCTAAACAATTGTGTGGTTATTTAAATATTAAACCAATTATTTATATTTAAAATATTATAGTTTAATATTTTGGTAAATCAAATATTTCACAATTTTATTGTAATAGTACTGTACCCAAAAAATTTTTTAGAAACTCAATATTAAACATTACAATTTTGGTGAATTTAAAATAATGAAGTTTTCAATAAATTTAATTTTTTTGTAACTTTGTAATTTTTTTCTTTTTTGTATATTCGATATTTTTGCAAAATTTTCCGATTTCGTTGTAAACGTGGACCAATTACTTATGGCATTCAACAAAAAGCGAGCAGGCTTGCCAATTAATGCGGGTAGAGTTGCCAATAGCATTTTTTAGCATTTTTTTTTAATAGCACTTTTATTATAATTTTTTATTTATTTTTCACACATTTTTTTTTTTATAAATGCAATCTATTAAAATATAGATCCTATTAAAAAGATAAACATGTGTAACACGTGTGTAGAGTTCAACTTCAACTTTAATGTAATTTCAATTATTTAAAATTTCATATTATGTATAAATTTTTGTGTAAATTCTATTTGTTGTAAAAATGTTATTTTCTTTTTTTTCTTCTCAAAAGCTTTTTATCTTCTTTTCAACAACTTTAACTTTACACTTTCACTTTTCTACCCAGGCTCTTTCTCATTCGTTTCTCTTTGGACTATTTAGACTAAAAACATAGTCTAGCTTTCAATGTACAAGTTAAATAATTTTAATTTCCTTTTATTAGTAAAACACAAACTTGTGCAATTTTTATTTATTCAATTTATTTAACGGATTTATTCGTGAAATAGTTGTTTGAAATGGATAGTTGGTAAAGAGACTGACTTTTCTTATCAATTTATAAAAGAGGAAGCCTCGGTTTAACCAATTATCCACAGTCAGCATTTATTTTTATTATAGGGTGAAATGAGATACATGTGCGAGATGTTGATGGTAGGGTGCCATTGGATATCGGTGAGAAGTGTTTACATGACACTTTATATGACACTTTAAGTTTGTTTATTATATATATTTGTGAGGGCGATTCGTGAATTTGTTCTTTTCATTAGGATGGTCCTTAACTTACATAAACCGGCATTCGTCTTTGTTATTAAATATTAACACTGTAAACTACGGCTAACACATATTTCGCTTGTTGCAGTAAGTAGGCGTTTCAGAATTGAAAGAATGCGTTTCTTTTTCGTTTGTCGGAGTTAAATTCAACGGTGTTCCAGGTATTCTTTTACTTACTTTATTTATATAAGTTTTTAATTAATTTTATTATATTAAAGGTCCACAGCATTTCCTATACTTTGGGTAAATTGAATACCCTTTCACTTTTTAAGTTGTACTTTTATGTCACATGAGCTATTTATTGTGACTTTACAGCGACTTATATTGGAAATTAAAAAAAAAAAAAAGAATCGATTTGTTCAACGTTGGGCGCCAATTTTATGAAACGCACGACCAACGTTTATCAAAATTAAATTGAAATAATTACTAAGATATCGGGTTTGATTCCGTTGGGCGCCTTTCTTTTATGCGACCAACTTATATTATGGATTAAAATAATTTCCATGCTAGGTTGCTTTTCGATGGTTGCCATCTCACGGGGATTATAAGCGACCAACGTTGAAAATTGAAATTAAATTAATATGAAAATGAAATTAAATTAATTCTACAGTGGAGTTTTAATTTTCGTTGGGTGCCATTTATGCGACCAACTTATGAATTAAAATGTAAAAAATTAAAATTAAAATAATTGTTTATTGGGCGTTGCTTTGTCACACATTTGAACACTAATTTTCCTTTTATTTAAAAGGAATTTGGAAATTTGACACTTTCTATATGTGTTCTCTTTCACAAAGCATCTCTTCAACTTATAATTATTTATAAAAGTATCGAGTTCTTTTTCCGCCCACTTATGTACGGACTATTTTCAATTTAGTTACGTTATGTTCTTATGACAGTAACCATTGATTACCATGGATCGGTTTTTAACATACGGTTGTACGGATACTGTGTCTTGTCACCGGCATAGGGGGGAAGGAAAGGCAAAAATCCCAAGTTTTACGGAAAAGGAATTAAAGTTGTGTTACAACCAACTTTCGATCATCCTCAGATCGGGGTTTGCCATTCAGAAAGAACCTTATTTTAAATTGAAAATTCTATTTCTAGTAACTTGTATATAAGTGCCTAAGCCTACCCTATTATACGTATGTAATATTATAAGATTATTCACATACTAAGTGTGGAAACAAAATAAATTCTGTGACTTTGGTCGTCACAGAACTTACATATTGATTGTGGGAAAACACAGAACGGCATGAACCTTGCTAATCGTTGGTCTTTGATAATCATTCTGTCATTGCTCTGACGCACCCTCCAATATGCCGTCTGGTGTAAAAAGTGCGTCCTGTCAACCATTCAACAAAGCTTAAATCTTTTTTGGCAGTTCCCCATACAGCATGAAAAAGCGTTTCTGTCATTATCATGGGAATCATATGTGTTGTACAGCGCATGTCATATCTAGCTTTTGCCGCTTCATTCCAGAATTTGAACGCACCTTTTCCTGAAAAGTCAATTCCCAAAACTATGGAGTGAATATGCTTCCCACTTATCTTGGAAATATCGACGGGAATTTTAGTCCGCAGGACGAAGGACTTTTTTTTTGCAAATATTGAGCATGTGCTTCTTTTTCCAATTAAGAGTTTGAAGAAACAAACATTTTACTTTTTGTTTATTTAACTAATTCGTTATTTTCGTAATTCCTTAAGACTCAATCTAAAGAAGTTTCTCATTGAAGTTATCATTTAAATAAGGTTGATAATTCATTGCACCTCTGGGTATATCAACATTTAAAGGCTCGTCATCCAAACTATGGCTGAGATACTGGGCACCATATAGCTCCTCATTTGAATATTCTTGGAGATTTTTTCAATGGCTATGGAAAGGTGAAAACCACAGCCACCACGATACTCTCCAAAGGGCCGTACCCAGCAGTCAGGGCTCACAGAGACGATGGGTACATCGTCCAGCGAACTTTCTTAGTACGTCCACCTGCGAGCAGGCTCCTGACACCTGTGGTACCAAAAATTTAGTCCACAAAGTCTTTAGTATTACTTTGCGCTTTGTATCGCATAAAAGCAATACGCCACTCTTGCCTTTATACTTTACCATACCGTCAAGATTGGCCAAATTCTGGACTATCTATCTTCAAGATATACAGTTGTCGGGCGTATCAACTGACATGGTCAGATTTCCATGTTCTCACCTCAATACTATATTCGTTGTACTTATATAAACCAGCTACCATTGAGTCTGGTTAGACTCTCCTTTATAGTAAACGCTTATTGAGAGGATATATAAAACTATATCCCACTGAAACCCTAAAACCATCTTTCAGAAAACTCGTCGCCGAGTAGACGATTGTTCAGTCTAAGTCTGACATGTACGAAATTTGAGTTAAAGATACTAGAGAATATCTACTAGGTTGGGTTGGCAAAAGATCTTCGAGATCACTGAAAGTGGAAATCACTGAAAGTGGAAATAACTTCCGGACTTTGGAAAGAGATGGCGGAGTCTAGTGTTATCTGAGAATGGTAACTTTCTAATGTACTTACTCCTGCACTATGTCGATCTACGTCTTTTATTGACGGTAATATTGGTGTTGATGTTGTAAACGTGTTTTTTGATACAATTTTTTATATTTTAATTTTATTTTGCATTTAATTTTAACAAAGTTGTTGATGGTTTAATTATTTTTGGGAAAAGTTAAGAGAAAACTATGCTTACATAGGGTAGAATTGCTGGAGAACTTAACTTCAAGCGTTATCTGCAGAATTCTCTCTATTCTTTTTTCATTATCCAGTTTTCCTCCATAAATATTTTTAAGTATGGTCATAAAGTAATAAATAAAATACGATCTCGCCTTCTTTGTCGCCTTAAAGTACAAAGAAAGGGTTATTGAGTGTTTTGAGTAGTGAATTTTATTTTATGTTAAAAAAGGGCCCTGCGGGCCGAATGGAAGTAGTGTGTATTTAAGAGGGGGAGTCGAATGAGAATTTCAGCTGGCAAGACGAAGGATCATCTTTTTCCCCCTTTTGTTTTTTCCTTCTTTACTATCTTTGGTTTTCTATTTTTGCTGCGTGATCACTAACGATCACAATGTTGATTGTGTCTTTAAGTTATAGTTGTTGTGAGCATCAACAGTTAGCTTTATACGCAATATTTGTTCTCTTTTTCTTTAGTACGAATTTAAGATGTTGTTGCTTCTTCGAACAAAAATTAGAAATAAGCAGCAACGAGTGCGCCTGTCGTTACGGCGTGGGCTCGCATCCCACATGCATTTCGATCGTAATACAATGTTTGCTTTTTTCTTATTTCTCTTTTTCCCTTTCTTTTACCTATATCGGCATTCTTCTATCACGCAGGATTGGCAGAAAGAGATATTCAGAAAAAAGACGCTCACTTTACTTTTCAAACATGAAGAGCTAACCTCTTTAAAGCTTCAGCATTATCAATGATTGTTACAACCGTATCCCAAAGCCTATAGCAATTTGTAATTTAGCCGCATATATGCCTAAGCACTAATGGCATTATTTAACATTTCGGAATTCTCGGCTCAAAGTAAACTAACGTAGCTCATTTGTAGCTCATTAAGCCTAGAGAATGTGTTACTGTTCATGTTTTTGCTTTTTTTTATTATTGTTGTTATTATTTTTATACTTCTATATGTTTTGATATTTTGTGTTACTGTGTTTTTGCGCTCCTTCCGTTTCTCTTATACATCTCATTTATACGAATATATACAGTTTTGTTAATTTTCCTTAAAACAAAACTTATTTTCGCATATTGTCGCGATCAAAAAAACACATTTCCAGGCAAGCCGCTATTCCTGCAATCACGCGGTCTGGTCAAAGCAGACCGACAAAATTCCTAGCATACACTTGTACGCGAACGTTACAAATGTTTTAAGAATACACGAGAAAAATTTCGCCCAGGCGAGGCACATATGATATATATGTTTCAAAGGTGCCAGTCCTTGCAGCATTTTGTCCTGTGTAATTTTGATAAACAAAAAAGTATAAGTAGTTATAGTTGGGAGGCGGAGAGGAAGAGGTGATATGTGCTCATGCTAAAATTCCTAACAGTTTTGGTTCAAAAATGTGGCCAAGAAATCTAACGGAAGGAAGATCATCATCATATCCTTCGTGATCAAGACTACTAAGAGTTTTCTTTTCAACAAGCGTAAACACAATTGTAAAAGTTGCTGAGGTTGTGTGTGAACGCAATCCCATTTCACTCATATGGTTTCAACAATTTGCATTCAATTGCTGACAAGGCTGATGATTTTATTTCGTAAAGCAATTCTTTGTATATTTTTGAAAGATTTTCTCTTCCAAGTTTTGGAAAATTACCTCCCATTCGCTGTGGAGAAGTGATCTTAAAAAAAGGAATTTTTACTTTATAGAAACTGAGAGAACTTAAATCATAGCTGCCCTGAAGTCTGGATAGAAGCAAAATCAATGTGACTAGAGAGGTTAAGTCCATTTAGCAAAGGGGTTTTTAGAAGACTTTGAAGTGACAAGATATCCATTTGGTATGGCTGGACTTGTTGACAAGTGCTTTCATGATTTACACATGGGTCGATCCCACAAACATATAGATCGCCGTCGTTAGAAAAGACTGCGAGAACACTACCCAGATAGTAAGAGAGTATTATTTATCTGGATCTTACATCGTTCATATACAATATTTAAGAATTTAGTATACCGATCAAGAGGACCAGACAGATCAAGATTGTCCATATATTCATAATAAAGGCGAGGCACATAACGACGATTAACATCACCATCTGCCCACATTAAAACAATAGATTTTGTCACGGATCGATGTATTACGAAACAGCGATGCCTGCATTTGGTTTGAGTTAGAAGGAATGTGGGTATGCGTTAGACATGAAAAAAGTAAGCCAGCGTGCGTTCTATGCAACACATTTTTTTAATTAGGGCAAACCTAGATTGCTGAAGTTGACTTTCCAGTTTATGGTCCTCGTTATGAGCATGGGTTTTTGAAGAGTTGCAAAAGTGTACATGTTCTTAACCAATGTATAAATTTTAATAGGAAGTAATGTAAACAATTTTCTGGATGGCTTGATGAAAAAAACTGCATGTAACTCAAAAAGGAAACGCAATTTTTCTGGAAGATAATTTTTTACTTGAAAACATGTCTAAAATACAATGTAATAATTATATTGAGTATAGGAAAAAGAATAAGAATAGAAAGAAATAAAAAAAAAACAACTGGAAATCAGAAAATGCACTAATCGCAGGTTTTTCCGGGAGTCTTGATTGCATACTTGAATTTGATAACAGGCAGCAAAAATTTTGGTTTTCGATTTGTTTTCATTTTTGGTTAGCATAAGTGGTTTTCAGTTGGGATTTTTCAGGCGGCTAATCAAATATATCCAAATCAAACAGTATATCCAAATTGTATGTTTTCTAAAAGCCCATGTGTCCAGTTTTCCTGCCTTGTTATTGTCAAAGCAAGCAAACAAGAATATCATGATAAATTTTACAAAGGAAACATATTTGTGGGATGGAAACTGCAAGGAAGATAATGAAGCGATTAAAATCGATTGAATGATATACGAGATTTAATATTTGCTTGACTCACATATGGTCTGGTACGTCGTATATGCATTGGATGAGCTCGCTTGGTCTTGCTGTGTATTCACATATTCTATGAATCATGGTAAATATTGGAAACCTACAAATGACAATTGACAATAAAAAACTATAAATATGTGCATATGTATGCGCATATACGTATCAATCATTAAAATTGTTCTAACTCTTACTTCGCTTCCACTCCTTTATTATTTAGCATGTTATTAACTTCTTTAGCAACCATAGGACCTAATAATTTTTGGCCTTTCAATAATTCACCTTCCAATTGCTCAATCGTATAATCGGTACGTATATATGCCTCAGCTATGCGTCGATTGCGACTGCCATAGCAGACGGTAATCAAATCGGATAAGCCAGAACTTTCGAAAAATGTTCCCAATTTACTACCCGGGAAAAAAATATCGATAAAATGCATCATCTCTAAAAGACCAAAGCGAATTAGGGCCGATCTAGTATTTTCGTTGCAATCCAGGCCATCCAATAGACCAGTGCCAAATGCCATAATATGCTGTTAAGATTAATAGACGGACATTATAAATTAAAGAGCTTAGGTCCGATATTAGAAAGCAAACTTTACAAACCTTGAGCAAAGCGCACACTTCCACACAATCGGCATCGTCAACTACTACGATGCGTAGTGATGGACCCTTAAAAATTTCCTTTAATATTCTCGTCTGTTTTGTATCTCGACAGCCTAATGTAGCCTCACAAAATTTGTTAGCCACTATTTCAGAGGCCAAATTAACACCAACCAGTACAGCACACGGAACCTTCGACAATCAAATGATAATCAGAAGAAATTTTTAAATTACTGGACGATTCATTTTACCTTTAAATATTTGGTTATCGTATGAGATATTAATTCCATGCCACTTTCGCTAGGCAAAAAGCCCTTAACTAGTGAGACCGCGATAGCGCTTGGCTTAATTTTACCCAAAAGAGTTTTACAAAAGTCAATTATGTGCTTACTCGGTATGGCGAAGACAATAATATCAGCGTACTTTGCAGACTCTACTAAATCGGTAAAAGCGACCTGACAAAGAACATAACTGCATAAAATTATGTTTTTTACGATAATGCATTTTGATCTTACTAAATTTTCTGGCAATTTAACATACGGCAGATATTTGCTATTTATATGATGTTGATTGATCGTTTCACTCAAACGTTTTCCTTCGAATATTTCATCGTACACAAACAGGTTTACACGATTCTCAACATCTTCCAGTCTGGCGGCATTTTCTGCGACAACTTTAGCTACTGCCGTACCCCTGACGAAACGAATAACACTTATTAGTGCAAAAAGGAAGAAATAATGAAAATATTTACTTTACCAATTGCCGCTACCGACCATACATATGCTGACCCTCTCCATGAAGGATTGAATAAGAGAAAATAATTGGTGCAAAGAAGCTGATAATGTTGTATAATATTTACAGTTTGATTTTTATTAGAAGAAATGAATACGTTTGTCAAATTTAAAAAAAAAAATTCTTCACATGACCAAATATAAATAGTTTTATAATGAGGTTACCTTGCCTCAGATTGGTGTTCATTTTCAAATGTGACAATCTGGAAGTTACATGATGTCTTAGAAATTCTATTTCGTCTAAGGTTGGAAATCCTGTAAATGTATACAAAATAACTCATCTCAAATAATACCTTCCGTTTATATATCTTTTACAAAAATCTTTTTCTTTCATACATATCATAGCCTTATTTCTCTTAGCTATATGATATAGATAGTAATTCAGATCTAGCAAACCAATTGTCACTCGTTGTGATTTGTGGGAATTGTGTGTAATTCGAACACATTCTTCGCATTAACATAACTATCATTTTCTCACGGCAAAGGTAAATTAAGAGGTCATCGTCGTCGTCAGTTTCAATTTTTAAGTCTCAACTTGTCCAAGCATTAACCTGAAGCATGCGTAACATTCTTTGTCCGTTAATAGTATAGAAATATCTATTACTTCTTCGTCAATTGAATTTGTAGTCTTAACTCTTGAGAATTCATTCCTAAGATCAAATGTGTATGGTTTGTCCAATATCTTATCGCATTAGATTAGAGCTTTGCATAATTAGTTCGTTTCAATTGATTGAATGCCATTTGACAATGTGTAGCAATAGCAGGCAATACGCCTCGCGGGGTACAGTTTCATCACATTGATTTATTTTTATCTCCCTCAAAGACGTATCATTGTGCACAAAATGTTCCAGAATTCCATCTCTATCAAAATATGCTTTTTCTTCACCAAATGCCACAGAACAGGCTAAACCTTCAAGATTCTGCTCCTCTTGTCTTATATATAGTGTCGCTTGGCATAGGGTAAAAATTTGTTTTACCGACCTCTACTAGTGATGATACCATGTTCATTAAAGCCTTACTTGCTTTGACATATTTGTTTGCAAACGTCTTAGACAGATACGTGGAAAATGGCTTATCCCTTACACAGCATCCTTCATTTTTCTGGATACTTTTATATCAAGTGGGTTGATTAAAAGACGTGGTCTTATTGTTATTCCAATATTTAGCACTTTGTATGTTATACCGCTCCAATTATTACTTAGTATGAAATTTGATTATCTCTTTGAGTTATACCATCATTATACCATCATTATACCATCAATGACAGCTTTTGTTTCATTGTTTGGAGGTTCACTATTTTCTATAAACCATTCAACAGAAGCAAGTTTGCATGGAGTCCGATTATATTTTTTAAAATCTCCAGAATTCATTAACAGATCTCTAGGCAATTTAAATTGCGAGTCTTGCCCCACTATTAACGGTCATTGGACATTTCATCGATATCGCAGACATCATACTGCTAAATGAACGCATATATATATATATATATGTCACGGGCATAGCTCGTTTCTCGATAGAGGGGTGGCACACTATGTCCTCGGTTTCCCTACCTCCATTCGCGCGTACACCCACGCATGCCCACCGCTACAGCGGTGGTGTATTCCACTTACCCACACATACTTAATTTA